CCTTGCCAAGGGTGTGGTTGGGCTGCTGGGCACAAATGCCACCAGCAGCGTTTTCTGTGGGGGTAGGGGGTGCCTCCCAGGCCAGCGGGGACTCCCCCTCACAGGACAGGGCTGGGGAAAATGTGACTTCAGTCCTTGGTAGAGACTTTGCCAGCCCCAGGCGGGGTGGAGTGGAGGCAGATCAGCCCCATTTCCTCAAGTGCCCTTGTTGGAGCTCAGCCTGGCTCTCTCACCGTGACCTTCATCCCTGGATGTGGTACATGAGTCCCGTGCAGACAAGTTTGCTGTCCTGTCTCTAGCTTATCACCTATGGGACCACCACAAGAGATCCTGGCAAACATGGAATAGAAAGCCCCCTTTGCAGGAATAGGTATAACGTGGTCCCTCATGTGAAGGGGACAATATGGTTGCTCAGGACAGGCAGCAGTGGGGGGCGGGGGCAGGCGGAGACCAGGAAAGGAGATGGAATAGGAGGCCGCAGTTTAGAAAATTATTAAATTGTTCCATCTCTGGTGAATCACCGCGGCCCTACTAAATCCGTTTTTTATTTAAAAGAGATCGTGTGACGCCTGATGTCCAGGCGCTATCTGTGGACGGGGAGGCATTTCCAGGCTTGCAGAGGTGGGCTCTGGGTATTTCTTGGATACAGAAGAGCCAGGGCCAGATGCTTCTGGGTCACCAACTATGCCCATCCCTGAGTCAGTCCCGCTGAAGGTGCTAGGGGCAGGGACTCAATGGCCACTTACAGGTCTAGCTTCATCCAATAAGGAAACCTGGGATAGCCCAAGAGGGATGAAAGCCTGGCCTCAGGACTCGGGGAGGCTGGCTGAGTGAGTATGGAGTCAGCAGGCCAAGTGAGTAGGGATTCAGCAGGCTGGAGGTAAGGAAGATGGCAAGCTCTTGCTCCAGGCACAGGGCACTGAGGCTCAGGAGCACAGCCCTGGTGTGAGGCCAGGAACATGCGAGCAGGGGGAGACAGAGGAGAGCAGGGATGCGATGAGCTGGAAGCAGTGGGGAGACGAACTCAGAGGCTACTTTCCAGTTGCAGGCTTGGAGAGTCTGCCTGGCCTCACAAGAGGATGGTTTTGCACCCCTGCTCTGTCCATCTGAAATGGGCCCATCTGGGTCAGCCAGAGCCAGGGCTGGCAGGTGGGGATGAAGGGCAGAAGAGAGCTGCCAAGCAGCCCTCTGGGAGGATTGCAGGCAGAATGGGGGGACCTGGTCAGTGGATGGATTTTCTTTGGCTGGGGATATGTGTATTTGGTTCTGACCACTCTCTGTCAGGCCCCTCAGGAACTGTGACCCATCTTCCCACACCCCTTACAGCTCTCTTTTGACTCAGGAAAATGTAACTACACTGTCAGCTAAACCTTACTCAACACCTTCGGTGTCCAAGTCCCTCTTCCCTCAGGCCCCATCTTCCCAGAGGAAATAAAGACACTCTACTCCCCAACCAGTGTGTAGGCCAGGGAGGATCCCTCTCAGCTCTCAGCCCTCAGCCTCGCACTCAGCAGAATCATCAAGCCTGTGACAAGCAGGCCAGCCTGGGGTCTTAGTTCCACACAACCCAAGCTCTTCACCCTAAGGCGGCACCTGAGGCTCTGTCTGGCCTCCTCTGCTCCTGGGGCCAGAGACCAGTGTTCTTTCCCTGACTCCCATAGAGACCTACCCTGACTGTGCTGGGAACAGCAGCTCTGCTGGGCACATCTGGAAAAGTTGTTACCCAGACAAGACCACTGTTGCCAGCAGGTTCTGCGTAGACGCCAGCCCGCCTGGGGCTCAGATCTAAAGACAGAGAGCCCATCTTGTTTATCCTGGCAGGGACTGTGGGTCCAGGCCATGGGAGGCATATGGGAGCCTGAAATGGTATGGGGACACATGGGGGAGGAGCTGGCTCACAACCTGAGCCAGCTGTGCCTACTCCCTTGAGCTCTACCCTCCGTGTTATGCTGCCTTCCAGGGTTCAGTGAACCCTGGCCTTAGCAAGGCTCTATCCTTTCTTCTTGCCTTCTCTGCCTGGCCTGGACTGTGACAGACAAGAGGAGGTGGAGGATCTGAGCCTCCCTGAGTCCAGGGCTTCTTCCTTCCTATCTAAATGGTGAGGTAACGGCTCAGAGGTCCCTTAGTATCCTGGGGAGAGTGGGAGGGACTGAGCTCCCCTTAGCGGTTCTGACCATGCCTATGTTCTGTGGGTCCTTCCTAGAGATGTCTTTTCCCACAGCGATGGGGTGGTTGTGGCAGGAGGGTAGAAGCCCTGGGGAAGGTGAGGACACTGTGGGTCCTGAGATTGGTGGAAACATTGATAGGTGACATTGATGCATCCTTTACCAAGGCAAAGGTGCTCTGTCTAACCTGTTACCCTGGGACCCCCACTTCCTGCTCTGCCCCAGTGCAGGGTGATTGTCTGGTGGGCCTTTCCTCCCACCTCTCTCCCTCTCTCCCTCTATCCCCCCCTGCCTGCCATGACCTCACATAGCTGGGGACACTTAACTTATGAGGATGCTGTGGCACAGTCCATGGATGACTCTCCACAGATTGCGTGCCATCTGTGCTAAGGTGGTACCTGGCTCCAGGGACTTACAAACATGTGCAGGGCCACATCACTTACCTTTAGATGCAGGACCTCTGCCTGTGAACAGTGTCACACAGGCCAGAGCAGCCCCATGCTCCTGACTCTGGTCTCTGCCTGGCCATTCCAGCCTCTGAGGCAGAGCCAGCAAGTCTTCTTGCCTGGGTTCCTGTTGGCATCACATTTTAGCCCTGTACCAGGCAGAGAAGGTCAGAGACAACTATGGGTCCTGCCAGGGACCAGGAAGTTGAGAGGAGGCAGAGGATGGCATCTCTACTTTGCGGGTATAGTCTGAAGGAGATACTTCAGAAGGGGAACAGCCCTATTACAAGCAAGCCAGGTCTGGGGGGGGCACAATCCTGCTGCAGGAGCCTGCTTAAAGGGGGAACAGGGCAGATCTAGAAACCTCTGTACAAGGGAACTCCCCTTGTTGCGAACTCTGGGGAGGAGCCTCTGGAAATGACCAAAGAGCTTCCCTTGGGGCTCCATTGTGTCCAGGGTCCCAGTCTAGGACCAAGGGGCATGGAATGAGAGCCAGGGCCAACCAGAGTGGAAGATGAGGGCCAGGGGCCAGCCTCTCAGAGGGTTACTTCCAGGCTGTCTGAGTAGATGCCCTGCATCTTCTGACCTCTGACATCCTGCCTTGAGGCCTCTTTCTCTAGGCCTTCGTGGCACTCAGGTATACACAGTGAGCCCTGTTGCCAGCTGGCCACTTACCAGCCAGCCAGTTAACAGCTGATCATCATGTAAACACCATGCTGGTCCCCAGCAGCTCATCCGAGTGTCAGGGGCAGCACACGGGCAGAAGGTAGCCAGTGATGGCTGCGGTCATTCTCTGAAGGAGACCCTAGGCTACAGTGGCACATGACACACATTCATTCTGCTCCACTCCTGAAAACACAGACCTCATATCTCACTGGGCCTCAGTTTCCTTTTTATAATGAGTGGAGACAACACCTTTGATAAGGAATGTAGTGGGCAGGGAGAAGGAGCAGAGGGGCTCTGATGGTTCTGGGCTCCTCTCAATGGGCAGAGAGGCCCCTTACCTGCTCAGCTCACCTTCTAGCACAGCAGACAAGTTGGCTGTACTCAGAGCTCCTAAAATCCAGACTTGCTCTGTTGATCGGCTGCCACTGGGTCTTTGTGCTGGGGTACCCAGGCTGGACTGAGGAAGTCTGAAGCACACTTTATGCCTCCTACTGCTGGCTCTCTACCCCCTTTTTTTTGTCCAGTACTGGGTCTTGAACTCAGGTCTTTCTTGGGGTTTTCTGCTCAAGGCTGGTGTGCTACCACTTGTACCACACCCCCATCGTTTCTTGTTTTGTTGGCTAATGGGAGGTAAGAGTCTCATGGATTTTTCTGCCCAGGCTGGCTTTTAAAAAAAAAAAAAGAAGGGGGTAACAATGTTTGACAAGAAATGTACTTATTACCTTACTCATGTAACTGTAACCCCTCTGTACAGCATCTTTACAATAAAATAAATACAAAAACAAAAAACTGTGATCCTTAGATTCCAGCCTCCTGCATAGGTAGGATTACAGGTGGGAGCCATCAGAGCCTGGTTCTGACCCCGCCCCTCCTTACTTTTTTCGTTTTGTCTGTCACAGCCCTAGCCTATCGCCCTGTCTCAGGGAGTCTCTTCTTTCCCTTAATTCTAGCATTGCTCACTTTCTATTTCCGCTGTCTTCATCCTGTCTCCTGTCCTCTTAGCCTGTGCCTTCCTCTTTTCCTTTCTCTTCTATCTCCCCACTGCCTGGAAACTCCATCGCCTTTGAGGGGAAAAACCCATCCGCATCTCCCTCGGCCTGAGGGTTCCCAGAGTGAGGGCTCCCCACAACCTTGTTCATTTTGCTCAGACCTGCCCTCACCACTGCATGTGGGGGTAAACAACCCCCTGATGTCCCTTTGGTCCCAAGAACTGAGGCCTGGCTGGTGGGGGGAGGGTCCTAAAGTGACAAACAGTTCTGGACCACGCATGCAGAGGCCCAGGCCACTTCTTGCGTCTCCAGAATTGCTCACAGAGGTTAATATGCTGCTCCAGGGTGGGCTGGAGATTCCAGGCAGGCCGATTGTGGTGCCTGATTCCAGGGAGGGCAACGTCCACCCAGAGTCCAGCCTGCCTGCTCCACCCCCTTCACAGCCAGCTCTGCTCGCTGGCACCCCAAGCCGGCACACTGGGCTAGGACACCTGGATTTCTCTACCCCCCTGAGTGGGGCCAGCTTGGAGGAATTTCCCAAAGCCTATTAGAGCAAAGTTGCCTCTTGCCTGCCTCTATGAGCTGGGCAGGGCTGAGGGCTGAGGGTTGAGGGTGGAGAGAGGGAGGGAGGGAAGGAGGGAGGGAGGGAGGGAGGGAGGGGAGAAGAGGAAGGAAAAAAGTTGGCAGCCACAGTAGAGCGGCGTCTGCATCCATCCAGAGGAGGCTCGTGCCGTGTGGGGCGGGCCAGGAGCAAGGAGAGGCCTTCCTCCCTTTGTGCTCCCCCCCACCCCCCCAGCCCTATAAATAGGCCCAGCCCAGGCTGTGGTTCAGTCTTGGAGGGAGTTGAGCACCAAGCAGTGAGTTTTCTCCACCAGAGTCCCTGCCAGCATGGCCAGCGAGTTCAAGAAGAAGATCTTCTGGAGGGCCGTGGTGGCCGAGTTCCTGGCTATGACCCTCTTCGTCTTCATCAGCATCGGTTCTGCCCTGGGCTACAATTACCCACTTGGCAAGAACCAGACGGCCGTCCAGGATAACGTGAAGGTATCGCTGGCCTTCGGGCTGAGCATTGCCACACTGGCCCAGAGTGTGGGCCACATCAGTGGTGCCCACCTCAACCCAGCAGTCACCCTGGGATTGCTGCTCAGCTGTCAGATCAGCATCCTTCGGGCGGTCATGTACATCGTGGCCCAGTGCGTGGGGGCCATCGTCGGCACCGCCATCCTTTTGGGCATCACCTCTTCCCTGACTGAGAACTCGCTCGGCCGCAATGAAGTGAGTAGTGCCCCAGGTTTGGGGCTGATGGGGAGGGGCCCTGGCCCAATCCTCTACCCACTGTGCAGATGGGGACACTGAGGAATGGGAGGATGAGGGGTGCAGGAGGGGGTCCTGTAGAGAGTTGGGGATGCTGAGGAATGGGAGGATGAGGGTTTGTAGAAGGTGGTCTGGTAGGGAATTGGGACTGGAACTCAGCTGTGCTGTAGCCACAGCCTGTTTTCTGCCAGGCACTGTGGGAATGGGAGAACCAGAGGATAATGGTTCTGCCAATATCTTAGTCCTATGCCATCCTTGGGGTGGGCTCCTTCTGAGCCCTGCTACCTGCTGTTGCCAGCCGTGCCAGAACCCAGTACCCAGCACTGTAGCCAGTGCTGCAAGTCTTAGCAGGACTCCCTTTGTGTGTGTGTGGGGGGGGGGCACTGTTAGGGCTCCAGCACAGCTTCCAAAGCCACACAGAGAATTGGGGAGAGTCCTTCCTTCCTCCTTTGCCCCTGGGCATCAGATAAACATGGGAATCAACCCCTTTGGGGGCTGTTGATGACAGTCGAGGTAGAAAAGGGTGTGTCCCTAGGATCCTGGGCATGGAGGGGTGTGGCATGGGTGTTTGTGTGTGTGGAGGTGGAGGTGTGCACGTGTCTGCTGGCTCAGGTCTCCTGGGCTTGTGGGAAATGTATAGCGTTCGTGCTTTGGAGCTGGGGTGAGTGTGTAGCTGCCTGTGTCCATTGCTTGGTGCTTGAATGACATGCACACAGATGTTGATGACAGTCAGTTGCTGGAAGTAATCACCCGGCCCTGTTTAACACAGCTCAGTGGCTGTTAGGAGTGGTGGCTACACAGGCTTTCCAGCACAGACCAGGCTTTTTAGCTCCTCAGCCAAGTGCACTTGAGCCCAGGCTGGGGGGTGGAGGGGTGGGGGTGGGGAAACAGACTGGCAGAGGAGCTGAGTAAGAACAGAAGGTGTCTCAGAGGCAAGCAAGCTGGGGGCAACCTCACTGGAGGCAGAGAGGAGGGACTAGAACTAGAACACGAGGTTGGCCAGGCCCTGGCAAGGCAGGAGGATATGGGGACAGTAAAGGAGCTGGCCAGGGCTCCTCCTTGAGGACAGCACTGGGTGAATAGTCCTCTGGTTTCCAAAGTTCATGTTCTGGAGAAGGCCACCAGGAAGGCAAGGTGAAAGTCTGGCATGGGGGCAGAGGCAGATGAGCACTTCTGGGTCACCGTGACTCCTTTCCAGCCTGTCCCTAATCTGCTGCTGCTGACCAAGATTGAAGATTAGCTCTGCGTCTGGAGTTTAGACTTTAGCCAGGGAAGACGTGGCTGTGACAGGTGTAAGGAACAGAGCCAGAGAGGCTGTGTCTCCTGGATGCAGTCTTGCCAATGGGAACAGAGCTAGGTGGCATAGGGCAGCTGCAGGGGGTGGGGAGGTGGTGAATCCAGGCTCACGCTGGGTGAGCCAGGCACGGGCCAGGCCTGAATATCGGCTGGCAAAGACTTTGCTGTCTCTAGCGTGGCCATCAGCAATGAAGGCAAGAGGCCTCTTTGGTGCCAGCTGGGTCTGGCTACACCCTGCTCTAGCTCCCATCCCCTCTTTAACTGCCATTTGTCAGATTCACCCCAGTGTCTGGGCAGGGGCAGGGTACAGATGGAAGAAAGAGAAGGGCAGGCCAGAGTGGAGCAGTGTTGGGCTGAGAGGAGGGTGCCTGGGTTCAAATCCCACTGCTGCTAACTGGTTGAGCTTCCTTGCTGAAGATTTCAAGGTGCAAGGGGGGAACCTGGGACTGGGGATGGCTCTATTGCACCCACGCTGCCCGCTCTTTTATTGGCTCACGCTTATCACCTGTGGCAAGGAGGGCTTGGCTAGGAGGGGCAGTGCCAAGTAGAAGATGAGACCTCATGGTGGGGGCTCAGTGTTGACCCTCCATAGCACAGATGTCTGGGATTCCTGAATACAATCTGGGCTCCCTCAGATGTTGGTGCTGGGGTCTGGAGGGGCCTGAGGGTGGAAGGAGCAGGGGACATTCTCTTTCCTCCTGTTACTCTGCTCCTTGCCCCACCCCGACCAAAACCTGGGTGGGGCAAATTGTTGGCATGGAGATTTCCAAAGAAACGAGGGGACTAAGTGGCAGGAAGTGGTTGGAGTGAGTCAGGGGGTGTCCCCTGGGGACACAATGGGGACAACTTTCTCCTGACTGAGTCAGGGCTCTGGGTACGCCCTAAAGAGACCACAGCACTTAGGGGCCAGGACGAGTCTAAGAGATGGACTTGAATCTTGACCAGGCGAAGGCGCTGAAGCTGGGGTGAAGACCCTGGCCTGTCTCTGCTTGGGCTCAGTGGCTACCACTTTGGGTGACTCCACTCCCTGGTCAGGCTAAGGCGTTCCTAAAATCCATCGGCGAAGGGGACAGAAGAGTAGGGCTGGTTCTGGGAGGTGGAAGATGTCAGGGCCTTTGCTGTCTAATGTTATTCTTACACTCTCTGGCTGGACTCTTGTGGACATGGCTGTGTGGTTGGGTGCTGAGTGCAGGCTGGGCTGGACAGGGCTGGACAGCTGGGCTCTCTGCCCTGGGAAACTCACAGCCTCTGGCCTAGATAAGCCTTGTGCACAGCTGCCTGTGATATGAGACAGGAGGCAGGTGTGATAATGAGGTGTCAGGCAGGATGGGAACTTTTGGGCTAGAAGGGTTAGAGGACCAGGAGGGATTCAGGGAGGAAATGTCATGTGATCAAAGTGTGGAGACCCTCAGAGAGAGGAGGGGAGAGAATCTGTGCACGCCCAGGCAGAGGGGCTGGCACCAAAGCCTGGGGGTCAGTAGTGTGGTCAGGCTGGGGCCTGGGGCAGGCTGAGCTCTGGAAGAGGGTGGGGGCTCAGAGTTTGGCCAGATCTGACTGATCTGGGGGACTGTGTTTCCAGAGTTTGTGAATTTAGCCTTCTAGGGAGCTGTGGCAGAGAGTGGCCCTCTTTGGGGTCCTCTTCATCCTGCTGATTCAGGGGCTAAGTACTTGGAGAACACTCCTGCCTGCTGATAACCATAGCCCTAAATACTCCCTCTTTCCATTTCCTGAGCTTCAGTTTCCCCAGCCAAGAAGTGCCAGGGCTCCAGGGCTACTCCTTGCTCCACCACTGAGGCTCCTGGCCCCTGCTCCAGAGCTTGGGGTAGGTTGGGTAAAGGGAGGTCAGAACTGACCAACTCAGCCTGTCCTGACCAGGGAGGGGGCTGGGGGCTGAGTGGCGATGGCTGAGACGTGTAATTATTGTTTCCAGCCAGAGAACAAGGATAGGGAAGGCATGAAGAGGTGGAGCCCCGTGGTGACTTCCCTCACCATGGAAAATTCTCCCGCAGGCCCTTGAGCAGCCCACTTGGCATTGCCCACCCCAGCCTGCTGCCCACCCACCCCCAGCCTGCTGTCCTCCAAGCCTTCTGTCCCCCTGCCTACTGTCCCCTGCCCTCAGTTATTTTTTGTCTCTTCAATGAGTGTGTGCATGCATGCATGTGCATGTGCGCGTGCACACACACACACACACAAATACAGCACATGCATGGCACATAGCACATTCTTAAGACCCACTCATTGCCTATATTCAGGCCCTGGGCTCCAGGAGGATGGGGTCCTCAGTGGAACCTCTTCCTTTCCCTGCCTGAGTAAGGGAAAGGAGTCAAGAAGAAAGATGCCATTGCTTTGTGTAGTTCTTGTTGGGAAGATAAGAAGACTTCTGGGCGCAAATAAAAGGCCTTTGAGACCCACTTCTCACTTAAGGGGGCTCCTCCCCGCCCCCCTTCCGCCCCTTTCCAGCTAATGGTAACCTCTGGGTCAGTGTGACACACTCAGCACAGACACAGAAGTATAAACAGCACAGCCATTGGGACCTCCTGCTGGCAGAGACCCCCCCCCCCGTTTTCCTCCCCAACAGAGCATTCTGGGAGACAGTCAAGTCAGCCATGTTCCCAGATACTTGGCCAACACCTGACTGGACTCTCTAAATGTCCTCCTGGGTTTAAAAAGTGATACACTAATTTGGAGACACAATATTTCCCCTATTTTTCTTAAACCAAACTTGTTAAATTCAAGGTTAAGTTGTTCTCTGTTGGTGCTGTTGGCATTTTTTTGTTATTGTTGTTGTTGTTGTTCGTTTTTGTTTTTAAAATAGGTTGAGAGGAAGGGTTAACATTTTTTTTTACTGTGGAAGTAGACTGACATAGTTATCCTCGTAATTGTGTCTGTTTTTACATTATGCATTTTAGGTTAGAGTGCTCAGGGCTTACAGGTTGAGGATTTTTATAATTCTTTGATAGAGTTTTTTTTTTAGCTTAGTTGTTCTGTAATAAACCTCTTAAAGTCTAACTAAAAAGAGAGAGCGAGCCACCCCTAGGCACATGTGATCACCATGGATACAGGAGACACTGTCTACAAAGCCACAGGGGAAGCCAAACCCATGGGTACACTGTGTGCACATGTGAACAGAGAGGGTAGCCCAGTGGGCCCCCCACCACCCTGTGCCAAGTGCTGGAGACACTAGGGGTGAAGGTGAAGCCTCATGTCTCACATCCCCTGCTCCTCGGGAGGAGATGCTCAGAGTCTCAGCCAGGGTTAGGTGCTCTGCTGACACAGGGTACCCAGGCCATGTTGAGGGTGCTAGGCCACAGAAGCAACTCTGTTGGCCTGGCTGAGGGGATCAGAAATCATGGCATGGAACAGTCAGTCCTGGCCTGTTCTGGAACTGTGATATGCCTGCAGTCACAGAAATACCTTTGCCAGCGACCCCAGTCTAAGTTGAGAACAGCTAGGTTTCTTGGGAGTGAACATGTTGGCCTGGAGTATGTGGTATTGGCCAGGAGTGTGTAGCGTTGGCCTGGAGCGTGCAGTGTTACCTTGGGACAATAGTCCTGGCTGTGCTGCCTCCTCCCTGGGCCTCTGCCTCCTGCTGGCCTCTCACTGTACTTCTGTGGACCAAAGGCTAGTGTTTGACCTTTCCAGCTAGGACGCAAATACAGGGGTGATGTGTCCTAAGAGCTTCTCTGGGGCCAGGCTGCCTTGAGAGAGGATGAAGTTTCTAGAAAATTAGCATTTGCTGCCATTCTGTACTATAGAGAGCTTTGGGCAGGAGCTGGGAACAGTTCCCTGGCCAGAGGCTGCCCATAGCAGTGGTCAGTGAAGGGCTAGATCTGAACAAGGCCTGAGGCAGTAAGCACACCTGGCTAGGACAGGCAGGGAGCTTATGGCTTGCTGGTGCTTTAGAAGAATCCTGTGGGCTTTTCTGTTGCTTATACTTACATTTGATTATTGATTATTTTCACTCTGATCAGTGAAACTGAGGACCTGGGCCAAACCAGACTATGTTGGAATGTGCAAACAATTACTTTTCCAACAAATGACCACACCTGGGATTGGCTCTATTAAAGCACTTGTTTTAGATTTCATGGGCTGCACAGAGCCACATAAGGCTTGATGTTTTACTCACTCTTTCCTGGGTATTCACTTTCAGTAGGCCTTTAACTTCTTCTTATAGCTCTGAACTGTCAAGTTTCCAGGCTGAAAGTAATGTAGATCCCTCAGGTAGAGGAAGAAAGATGTCCGGGAAGGCAGCGGTGGAAGAGGCAACAGAGTAGGAGGCTGCAGTCTGTGGCTTCTGGCTGTCAGACAGGGGCACCTTCTGGGGTCCCTAGGTCATAGGGGACTCCAAGCTTCTTCCATTGGGCTTGGAACCATGAAAAGTGGAGCCCTGGGGGAGGGACTGGGACTCAGATATAGTTACAAAGCAGAGGAAGAGATGAGCTTGTCTTTGGCTGCATCTGGGTGAAGTGTGTGTGTGTGTGTGTGTGTGTGTGTGTGTGTGTGTGTCCATTAATCAGCAAGGACTGCCTGGCTTCAGGGATCCTGCCAGCTAGCAATTAGGCCAAGCCTAGAGAGCAGAGGATTTTCCACGGAGGCTCCCTGCCCCTCAGACTGAGTGTATCCGTCACAGCTTCCCCCTCACTTGGTGTGCCAGCCTCTGCCAGCAGTGCAGCGGCACTAACTCCTACCTCCACACCTTTGAGCCTTTGTCCTGCCTGTCTCCAAATCCATCAGAAGCAACAGAACAGAACAGAATAAGAGCTATGACCATCACCCACTCTCCAAACATCCAGCATGGCTCCACAGCCTTTGAACCTCTCAGCTGCTCTAGAGAAAACATCAGATCCACTTTGAAGATGGAGAAACTGAGGCCCAGAGAGGGACAGGTCACATCCAAATTACCTATACGTAGAAGAGTCAGGATCTGCACACGGGGCTTCTGCCTCCACTGCCCAACCTTGGGGTGGAAAGAAAACTGGGCCTTGCCCATAGGGCGGGGTTAGCCAGAGGGGAGGCAGCTCTGGGGTCGCCAGGAAAGGGCCTGAGCTGAATTGCAGGGCAGGAGAGGGGATGTGAGTCACTCCCTGTAAACCAGGACTACAGACAAAGGCGGGAAGAGGGGAAGAGGATTGTTCTCCTGAGGTGCTGGGCAGGGGTGGGAAACCTGGGGTGGGGGGAGCAGAGGATTGCCCCCTACCCAGGATTGTTTAGAAGTGACTCCCCAGTATCTTCAGGATTGAGGTGGGGGTTTGAGATCTAGACACGCTGCCTCAGAGAGGGCTGATGTGGTCCAGCTCCTTTGTGGGGTGCACCTGATCCAGGACCCCCACAGAAGAGAGTGTAGGGCCCTCTGGGGAGGGGTCTTCCTGGGGCGGCCGCAGGGGGAGGGCGTGGAACCTTCTGGCAGCTCCCATTCCCTTCTTTTTCCATGAGTCATGTTTCTAAAAGTGGCTCAACAGCGGTGGCCGCCAGACTGCAGTAGGGGGGCCCGTGCGGCCGAGAAAGAGGGCAGGGCCTGCAAGGAGAGAGGAGGGACAGGGAGGACAAGGCCAGAGAAAATGGGAGAGAGCCACCAGACCGAGGAGAGAGAAGACAGAGGGAGAGATGTGGAGGGCAAGGACAGGGGAGAGCACAAAGGAGCAGCCAATCACTGAGAGGTCTCCCTTCCCTCCAGCAGGAGAGACTCAGGTGCAACAGGGCAGGGATAGAACAAAGCAATGTCCCCAGCTGGCTTGCTTCTACTCTTCTATGAGAGACCATCCTCCAGGCCTGGGGTTTACCCTCACCTTTGGCTTTGGGTAGCCCAGACCTAGATGTAGCTGAAATGGAGGCCCCACTTCTGATCCAGGTGAAGCAGGGTGGAAGAAGGTACTGGATGCTGAGCGAAAGCATCAACAGCAGGTGCGGTTGGCACCACCCAGGGTGTAGGTCTGAGCAGACCAGCCCTCTAGGCTCAGTGATAGGCTGTAAGGGCAAGCGTGTGACTTTGGTGCCTGGGGGTCTTGAAGCCCAGCTATGACCTGTCCTGCTCAAAGGCCTTATCCTCTCTCTCCCCCGCAGCTGGCCTCTGGGGTGAACTCTGGCCAGGGCCTGGGCATCGAGATCATTGGCACCCTGCAACTGGTGCTCTGCGTGCTGGCTACCACTGACCGCAGGCGCCGTGACCTTGGGGGCTCGGCTCCCCTGGCCATCGGTTTCTCTGTGGCCCTGGGACACCTGCTAGCGGTGAGTAAGGCCTTCCCAGATGGGGCAGTGGGGAGGGCTGGGTATCATGGGCTGGTGGGGAGGCCCTGGGCTGAAGAGGAGGGGACAGCTCTGAGGGCCCGGAAGGAGACAGAGTTCTCTGGGTCTTGTCCCTGTCCTGGGGCTGGTGGACCCCCTTCTTGCTCCAATTCCATGTTTGCTTCTTCACCACCCCTCACCCCTTGCCACTTTCTCTTTCCCTGTTCCCTCCCCACACAACAGATCGACTACACTGGCTGTGGCATCAACCCCGCTCGATCCTTTGGCTCTGCAGTACTCACCCACAACTTCACCAACCACTGGGTAAGACCATAGGGCCCTTGGAGGCGAGCAGAGCATGGCAGTAGGCAGCGTGAAGAATAGACTTAGGTCCAGCCTCTGCCCTTGCAGCTCAGACCTGCTGACTCCAGCCGGCTGCCTGGCCCCCATGTCATTCTTCCTCTCTGGTGGAGATCATGGTTCAAATCCTGGCTTTGTCACCTTCTGATTCAACAACCTTGGGTAGGCTCCTTGGTGTCTCAGTTTCCCCAAGTGGGAAGTAGGCCTAAGGGAGCTCTCCTTGAGAGTGCCCAGGTGGGGAAAGGACTCTCAGTCTAAAGTATAGCTCAGTGCAGTGGCAAAGGCCTGTGGGTTTCAGATCTAATGATAGTTGGCATGTGTGCTCTAGGCCAATTAAACCATCCCTAGGGCCCTGGGAAAGGCAGGGCAGGGAGTGGCCAGTGACAGCTCTCCTGTCCAGGAGATGCTGGGGGGTGCACAGGAATCAGGAAGTCAAGGTTTAGCCCTTCCTGCCTCTGCCCCAGGCTAAGGTGAGCAAGAGTGGTCTGGGGGTAGCAACTGAGGGGCATCCAGGAGGGTTCCCCAAGGTAGGAAGATGAACTCAAAGCACACCAACTCTCTCCTAGATTTTCTGGGTGGGACCATTCATCGGTGGTGCCCTGGCAGTGCTGATTTACGACTTCATCCTGGCTCCACGTAGCAGCGACCTCACGGACCGCATGAAGGTGTGGACCAGTGGCCAGGTGGAGGAGTACGACCTTGATGCTGACGACATCAACTCCCGGGTGGAGATGAAGCCCAAATAGAGAAAGCCTGGCCTGGGCATCAGTAGGGGGTGGGCAGGGATGGGTGGAGGGAGGGAGGGAGGGCTCTGAAATCATGTTACTATAGACACTCTGACAAGTGGGCTGACATTACCCCCAGAGAGCTGTCAGACCTGTGTGGTCCAGGTCCAACCTTATCAGGGGCAGTTCTGTCTCTTTCTTTCTCTCTTTCCTGGTCTCAGAGCTTTAGCAACTCACTCCCTTGGCCATATGGAAGAGTTAGAAGGGAAGGACCACTGCGAGTTGTCCCCTCAGAGTGTGATAGGAGGAGTACCACAAAGTCCTGCTCATCCCAAAGTTGCTCACCACCTTGCCTGCCACAGGTGCCTAGGGTGCTGCCATTATTGCTTTGTGCCTTTGACCACACCCCCTTCTCCTAACAGGGACCCTGACCCGTCCCCCCACAAGGGTGCTTTGAGTGGGAAGGGGTCCCAGGAGGGGCAGTGGGAAAAAGCAAGTTGCAGGTGAGCTTTGCCTTTTCGGTGTGAATTCCATCTCCTGCTTGGACTTGGTACATGACCTCGTAACTGTCCCCATCTCAGGGCCTCAGAGACCCCCATCTGAAAAGTGTCAGGGGAGGGGAGAGTTATGTGGATTTGGAAGGTGTAGACACAATGCAGTTATAGAAGGGTCTATCCAGACCAACACAACTTACACAACTTCATTCTCCAGACCAACACAACTTCATTCATTTCCCAAGGACAGAGATGGCCTACCCATCTGCATGCCCACATGTGTGCGGGCCGAGCTTCCAAGCCAAAAGGTGGTCTGGGTTAGCGGGTGCCGTTCCCATGGCTGGCTTCCCAGACAGTCTGTGTCACAGCAGGAAGGGCATGCACGTCACAGAGAGAGAACCAGACTCTAAGTGGGCAGTCTTTCCATCCATCATGGCATGGCCTTGCTTGTTATTCAGCTCTCTACTTCCCCTTGCCAGTGTGGTCCAGGATGCCATTGTGTGGTATGTGTTTATTAAAGAGCAGTTTAGATTACATGAAGCCCCAAGCCTGAGGAGAGAACGTACCAAATGTGTAGCAGATGCCCTCTATGGGAGCTGGGGTTTCTGAGCAGGGAGGAGCAGTTCTGGCCCCTTCATGAGCTCTTTGTTGGAGGCCTTGGGGTAATCATGTGACTGCACAGGCTCACTGAGGGACCCCAGGTTCCCCACTGACCTGGAGGAGAGACATGACCCTTGACCTGATGACATAGCTCCTGCTGCACTCAAGGATAGTTCAGAGCACAGAGTTCACTTGGGCACTGCCATCTCCTGCTGGATTCTCTACCTAAGTCCTAGCAGCTGCACCACTGTGCTCTTAGCTCTGGTGCCAGCCCAAATGGAGACACAATTATGCAGGCCTGAAGAGCAGCAGGGTGGCCAGGGTGCTTAGGTTGTCACTAGCACATCGTATCTGCACACCATCCTCCATTCTCTAGCAGGACCTCTAACCCCTTTAACAAATAGGGAAATAGAGCTCCGGGTCCCACAGCTATGGAATAAATCTGGCCATCCTAACACCACAGCCATGTTTAAGCACTCCCTGGACCACAAGATGCCTCTCATTCCCAGATTTGCAGTTCTGTCTGGGCAATGGCCATGGCTGGGGGGTGAGGGGCTGTGCTGGGGGTGGGGAGGGCAGACCCACCCATGCCTGGTCTGGCATCTGGACCCCTGCATCTGTCTGCTCTGTGTATATGTCTCTTTGGAATTGGAATTTCATCATATGTTAAGAAAATAAAGAAAATGACTTGTTGGGTCCTTCTGGCCTCTTGTAGTCTTTTTTCTCTAGACACACATCATCCCTAGGGCTCCCCTGGTCTGTGCAGAGATTGGCCCCACCTCTAAGGACCCAGTCTGGGGCCACAGCCTGTCCTCTGACCCCGGGATCTTGGCCTCAGGAGATGGGCACAGCTATACAACAGGACCTTTTGCAGGGGATGGGGGTGGACACAGGGTGGATGTGGAGGCCTGGGAGGCCTGGGGGGACAGAGCTTCTGGACAACTTATGGAGTTGTGAAAACCATATCCAATGCTGGAGAAAGCTGAACTAGAGTCAAACAGTGCTGTTAGACCCATGTGCCATACTCTGAGCAGGGCTAGGATCCACTGGCCAGCCAGGCTCCCACCTTCCTCTCTCCAGACCCCTGTACCAGGGATGGTGTCTGGGGCCTACAAGGGCTTGGGTTGGAGGAACATATGTGGCCATTCGTATCAAGTGAACCAGGGTGGCTTGGATCACATGATGCAGGAGCCAGAACTCATGAGAAATGACCTAGGTCCTGGACATTGACCTCCATGTGAGGGATGTGTGTGTTCTGTAAACGGCCTGTCACACTGGGAACTGGTGTCTGGAAATGGGTCAGGTCAGGGTCAGGCTTGGGTTCAGAGTCTGGGAGGTACTAGGGGCCATCAACCTCCTGGAAATCTGTCTAGCAGACTAGAAGTCCATCATGGGCATGAACTGAACACGGAAGAGTGAAGGAAGGGCTGGCCCCTCCTAGACTGCCCCTGATAGATACCCGGTGTCCACCCCAAAACTGGCCTTGAAAGATACTCAGTGTCCACCCCCAAAACTTCCCCCAAGAGATACCCAGTGTCCATCCCAAAACTGTCCCTGAGTGACACCCAATGTCCACCCCAAACAGCTCTTGAGAAATATCTGGTGTCCACCCCCAAACTACCCCCTGAGAGACACCCAGTGTCCACCTTAAAACCACTCCTGGGAGATACCCAATGTCTCTGCCATGCTCTGTGGAGGGTTTGGCAGCTGGTGACACAGGGAGGGGATTCAGGCGGGTCCGGCGGGTCACCAGGAAAGGACTGGTGAGTGCTGTGAAGGAGGCTTTCTTCCTGAAGAATTCATGGGATAAGTGGGAAGCTCAGCTCATGGAAACTCCCCAGATGGAGGACTTGTGGGTATGAAGGGAGAGGGAAAGCCAACCTAGGGTTGGCCAACCTAGACTGGCTGTGGAGGTCTGCTAACTATGACAGAGTACTGTTGGTAAGGTGCAACTCCTTTGAGGTGCATCTCCACTGAGGTATATTTCTTGTGAAGTATGTCTCCTGTGGGGTGCGCCTTCTGTGAGGTGTAGCTCCTGTAAGGTATACATTCTATGAGATGTACCTTCCCTGAGGTGTACCTCCTGCAATGTGTATCTCCTCTGGTGTGTACCTGCTGCGAGATGTGCATTGTGTGAGGTGTATCTCCTGTGAGGGGTCTCTTATGGGGTGTGCCTCTTGCGAGGTTTATCTCCTGTGGGGTGTGTGTCCTGTGAGGTATGCCTCAGGTGTCAAATCTGTGAGGCGTACCTCCTGGGAGGTGTGGGAGTCTCTTGCACAGTCCCTCTTGGCTTGTCTTTCAAGGTCTCATCCTCCTGTACTTAATCCTTCCCTGTTCCTCCTCGGGGCCCAGCTACCTCTACCTTATCATCTGCTCATTTATTTCCATCTCTTCCCACTTCTGCTCCATTCTACAGCAGTTTTCTGCTATAATCGATGACTTCTAGAATCTAGAACAGAGGTACAGCCTGAAGGAGCTGGGGTGTCTAGTTCAGCTGCTATGTGAGAGGAACCTTTCTGTGACTCATCACACAATCTATTTTTTTTTCTTTTTGATGGTGCAGGCCTTTGAACTCCAGACCTCATACTTTTGAGGCATGTGGTCTACCACTTAAACCATGTACCCAACTCTTTGTACTTTTGTTATTTTTCAAACAGTGTCTCACTTTTTTTCCCAAGCTAGGCCTAGATCATGATCTTCCTATTTATGCTGCCCATGTAGCTGAGATGTCAGGTGTTTATTATTATTATTATTATTATTATTGGTCCAGTCGTGAGGCCTGAACTCTGGGCCTGGGCGCTGTCCCTCAGCTCTTCAGCTCAAGGCTAGCACTCTACCACTTGAGCCACATTGCCACTTCCGGCTTTTTTTCTTTTTGCTTATGTGGTGCTGAGGAATCGAACCCAGGGCCTCATGCATGCAAGGCAAGCACTCTACCACTGAGCCACCTTCCCAGCCCTAGGTGTTTATTATTGTAGCCAGATTTTACTGGCTTAGATGGGGTCTTAGGGACTTTTGGCCTGATTGGCTTCATACTATGATCCTTCTGATTTCAGCTCTGTGAGTAACTGTGATTATAGGTGTAAGCCACTGGCTTCATTCTCTCTAATCATCACAGCAACACAGGCAGATAGCAATGTCTCATTTATGGAGGATGCCAAGGTCCCAAAAGATGAAATGATTTGCCCAAGGCTGCCCAGAAGATAGATGGTAGAATTGTGATTTGAAACTGCTTTGTCTGACTTCAAAGACCACAATCTTTGTGTACAGGATACAGGCTTCTTTTTTTTTCTTTATAAAAACATAGTTTATTGTAAAGATACTGTACGGAAGGGTTACAGTTACATGAGTAATGAGTACATTTCTTGTTAAGCATTGTTACCCGCTCCTTTGTTGTTCTCCCACTATCCCTTCCTCCCCCTCTCCCCCCGCCAGTGGTAAAGTTCTTGTGAGTATCATTGTTGGAGGCTTGTTTTGTGGCAGTCCTCCTACCCTTTGCTAAGTTGGCTGGACCAGCTTAGAAGCTAGGCAGTGCAACACACATAGCAACCCTGAAGTGTGTAGAGGAGGAGAAGGAGGAAGAGGGGAGAAGAGCTGACCTAGGAGCAACTGCCATCATTCTGGGATTTGTTGGTTGTGGCGTGAGCCACAGACATGTGGGCACCACTAGACTGAGGCTGCTTCCCTGCCATTGGTCATCCTGCTGGGTGGAAGATAGACTTGTTGGGTCACCAGGTCATAGCAGAAGGGGAAAGGCAGTGCTGCACTATGAGGAATAATGATGTTCCAAGACAGGCTCAGGCACCCTTAGGGCTGGTCATACAAAGACTCCTCCAGCTTGAGACTTTGTGCTCCAAGCCTGTGTCTCTCAGGATGCTCATGCCTCACCAGTACAGGAGAAAGGTTTGCAGGGTGGGGTAGTGACCTGAACCCCTGTCTCTCTTTTGTCCAGGTG